ACGTAGTACGTTACGTTCGGTTACGGTTACGGGTACGGTTCGTTCGGTTACCGTTTCCGTTACGTACGTTACGTCGTACGTACGTACGTACGACGACGAGAGAAGAGAGAGAGAGAGAGAGAGAGAGAGAGAGAGAGAGAGAGAGCAAAAACATCCTAGGTCAGCTTGTTTGGGCCTTTTGAGGCTTCAAGTTCAACCCTTCACTAGATCTACCACAGAGCCAAAGCTTAAGGACAATATTTGAAACCTCCATTTCTTTTCTTTCAAAAACCAAAAATCACGCTCAAAATAAAATCCATTAACTACTATAGTCAATCTCTCATTTCTCTCACTGAATAAAATTTTAGGATTTCTGGTGTCATTACAGGTGATGAGCTATGATTCTCTTCCCCACTTTGTAAAGCAACAAGGATCCAGTTCCTCTAGGCGCAATGAGGGCAAGATCTCAAGCTGTTTCTCCTTTGACCACTCATTTCACCAAGAGGTCTATGCTTACATGAAAAACCAGGCAGATACGGGAAAACCAAATGGTTTTATTTCCAAATTAAACTCATTTCATGTACAGGTTCCTGATGAAACCCATGAAGAAAATCTGGAGGGGAGCAATGTTATTGTTCGGACCATCAAGAACACTTTGAAAGGGATGGGGGATGAGGAGACGGCCTTAGAAAATGGGGTGGCCGAATTGCACGTTAGCAATGACCAGTTGAATCAATCCTAACGCAGTTGAGGGTAACAGCACAAACCCCCACCCCCTCCCTCTCTCTCTCTGTAGCTAGGTGGGTAAGCTGAGTTTTGAGCTCAAGCTTGCGTTTGCTGCCCCCCACACCATAACCACTATGCCAAGAGGTCAATCCCCATGAACTATTTATCAATTCTCTCTCTCACATGCATGCACACAATGTGTGTGCACGTTTAGAGATGGATATTTAAGTCTTAATATGTTTCTTACATTTTCTGTTTTTCTTTTCTCTTTGTATGGATAGAAATTTTGGGCTTAACAAAAAAAAAATGAAGAACGAAAGAAAGATAGTAAGAGGGCTTTAAGCTCAGGAGGAAGGGATTGACACCTCTATAGGGTGGGTAACCTGTATAATCACTATATGCAAGGCATTGTTGGTTTTGTTCAGCCCTACTGCATGATATTTATAGGAGGGCGAACTGTTGTATTTGTAACTTCACCCATTCTGAATTGAGGAAACAGTAATATCAATGATTCTCTCTCTCTCTC